AAACTTAAATGGACCTGAAGAACTTCAGTCATTAAATTGCTGGAAAAGGCTACATTCCTACCATTCCACTCTTCCACTCAAGATTCACTATTACTATTATTACTATTCATGATTCTTTTTTAGACAATATGCATGAATAAATCATGTCTGATAAGATACATCTAGTTACAAAGAATTAGATAACTTGGTGAAGAACAGCAGATACAAATAAAATGTTTTCCAGAATACAAAAGGATAAAAGGTTGATGRCAATTGATAAAAAGATCAAAGGCATTTTGAATTTCTGATCTGCTAACACATCTTTCTTTCCTGTGTACTGTTTTACTGATTCTGGTCCCTGAAATCTATTATTTTTCTTCTTCTGTAGTTCTCTTAGTACCTGCCTGCAGGAAAGAAATTGGCAACAATGCTGGTTGCTATTGACACTGACTTACACTTTCTCAGCAAAACTATTCACCAAGAGGTAGAGGGATGGAGTAACRTGAAATATTCCCTTTTTGCTGTAAGGTTAACTGCTTAACAAAGGTGCTTCCAGCACCTGTTCTGCCAGCACATGAACGCCGGATATAATGAGAAAAAGAAATGGGGCATATTCCATTGATAGGGCTTTATCTGTATGCCATTACATCCAAATCCACAGGAATCCTTACATCATGTATCTGATTTCACAACAATGAAATAATCCATGTATACATTACAGGAAGGGACATGAGTTTCTTAACTTTAACCCCAGKCTCTTTGAAAGTGCCACAATGAAACTGCACAGCCTAACCATCTTGCTTAAGCAAAATCTATTTTTAGGCAGCTTCTTTGTTATTGTATCTCAGTGCCTACTTTTTAAACTCAGTCTAGTTTTGCTGATAGCTGAGCTTACAAGCGCTGCCACATGCCTCCTCCAAAGGTAAATATAAATATAAGGTTGAGTTCTGTAGCAACATAATGATACAGTGTTAACATACACTGGACAACAAGACTGAAAGAAAAAAAAAAAAAGATACACATCTGCAGAAGAGCTCAGGCGTGACAACTTCGCACAGACACACACCTGTATGGCAAACTGTTTGCAAGCTGTGCATCACCCCTGACACGCGTCTCTGCCTGACATAGGGCCAGTCAAAGGAAACCAGGTACCAACTTGACTCAACGCTTGGGAGAACTGCCCGAGTTTATTAACTCCGCCGTGCGCCCACCGCAGCCTCCCCGGCACAGCCCCCGCCAAACTACCTGTAACACAGCCCCTATTTCCCACCCCGCCGCCTCTCGCGGATCCTCATCCCGGCCCCCGCGTCCGCTCCTCAAGGCGCGGGCGCTGCCTTCCCACGCTGCCCCTCCCCGGGCCCCCACTCCGGGCAGCGGGCGAGCCGCCCCGCCGCCCCCTCCTTCCCTCCTTCCCTCCCGCCTTCCTTCCCCCCCTCCTCCGCGGGCCGCCCCCGCCGCCACTCACCAGCTGCGCGCCGCACACGGCCACCAGCGTGCACCGGCCGCTGCAATAGCCCATGGCTCCCGGCACCCCGCGCCGCCGTCCCGCGCCGCGCCCACTCAGGCGGCGGGAGAGCACCGCCCGGCCGCCGCCCGGCTCCCGCCTGCCGCCG